CGAGTTATAACCATTAATATATATTTATATAATTGATTACCAAATTTAAAAATAGTTGTTACAATTACCACTTACCGTTTCTTTGATTCTTTGTAAAATTCTTGAAGATCTCCTATTGGTGGGCTCTCGTTTTGAAAATTTGGAAAACGATCTTCTAGATGTGCTATGAGCATGCCAAACTGCGTTCCCCAATCCCCAAGATGATTGATGCGAATAACGTCATGTTGTAGAAATTCAAGAAGCCTACAGATTGACTCGCCAATTATGGTGGAACGTAAATGACCAACATGCATTTGTTTTGCGATGTTTGGAGAAGAAAAGTCAACTAATACGCGTTTTTTTGAAACCTTTGGTGGCTGAATGCCATACCGCAACATATTTGTTAACGAGAGCACAGCAAGCTTCCTGAAAGAAATATAGACGTTAACATATTTAAGAAAATAAAAATTGGTTTTAACGTACTTGCTGATAAAAATGTTGATGAATCCAGCACTTGAAACTTCTACTTGCTCTATTATTGGAGACTCTGGAACACATTTTTTAATATCTTGAGCAATATCTCGTGGGGTTTTTATAATTCCTTGTTCCTTCATTTTCTTGGCTAGTCCCATAGCGTTATTACACTGGTAGTCTCCGAATTTTGACGACACATTCACAGCCGCAATAATAGTTGGAACGTTAGAAAACTTGGGATATGCATTGGAAATTGCTTTTGTAAAAACTTTTTCCAAATATCCCATAATAGAAAGAGTATTATCTTCATGCATTCTAAAATTTGTATTTTTCTCTTCAGTTATTGACTAGAAACATTAAATACTTCATTATACGCTGTATTTTAGTTACATATGTATAAACTAACTTTTATGATAATGGCGAACCGATGTTTAAGTTTAGTGTTTTCTATTTGCAGCTTGATGAGATCATCATAATCTTGAAAACACGTGTTCTGTTTTACTGCAGACTGCTTTATTTTCGCATGTAGATTGGCTGTCACGTGTTCCTGTTGTCCGTTCAAATCATATATATATATTGCATTTATTGAAGAGTAGCGACAAACCATTGAGATACATACCAGATTTGCAAGTTTATTTAACTCAGTTTTTAATTCAGGAATAATTCCAATAGTTTTATTTGTAATTATAGACATTAGGAGAAATTCTGTCACATGAATATATATGTAAATGTTAATATCGTAGACTATTGAAATGATATTTAAGAGAAATCGATAAAGTTACAAGAAATTATTATCTGGGAAAAAAATGAAAACGACGAATGTAAATCATAAAATCTTTAATAGAATTTGCAAATATGTATATACGCGTGAATTATGATTAAAATCGAAACTGGATCTGGAGCACCGATCAATTCCCTCAACACGTGAATTACAACAAATTTCTAACGACTTCATAAAGTTTTAAGCAATTTCTTAAATAATAAATAATCGAATCGAACTTAATTGTTAAAAAAAAAAAAATAAATAAAATATACTTTCGAGCAGGCGTCACACACACAGAAAATTAACAAGGTATGCTTATTAAATGCGGTTAAGTAATCGAAATCAGTGTTGCTCACTAGCAGTGTTGCCACTTTTTCCCGAGAAAAAAAAACCTGAATCAGGACAAAAACTAAGCGAAAACACTGATCAGAGTGGTCAGTGGCCAAAATAAGTTAAATCTCAGAAACAATTAGCTCAAAAATAAGCTAATATTTTAGAATTGTTTTCTTTATATTGTGATAGATACACGTACAAATATTGTAACAAACATTTTATACTCATGAAAAACAAAACGAAATTAATTGAAATTTTAACATTATACATTTTATATGTTTACATTGATAATCAATCTGCCAATAGATAGTCACAGACTCTTCGGTTTCAATATTTAAATATTCCTTGGTTGTGATCCATTTGAGGCAGTTAAAAAAAACTCTGTAATCAAAACATCATCTGTTATCTCGGCTCAATTCGGATGTACATTTTTAATAATATCATTCTCTGTTTTAATGACACTGTATTTCTTTACCAAATTTACCTTTACCTTATGGTTGATATTGAGTTTAATGTATCAATGTTCATCCTATTTCTTATTTTATATTTTATTAAATTGACTTGGCTGAAGACCCTGTAACAACAGCAACAGAAAATCTATCTAACCACTTGTGATGTTAGCCTTTAATAATAATAAAATCGGTACCTAATATCAGATATTAAACAAAATATGTATTAGCAAATTCAATTCATAAATAAGCCAGATTTTCCGCTACCCGCGATTTCCAAATTTTTTCCGCAATCGCACTTGAAAATAAGCCAGATCTGGACGAAAATAGGCCAAAGCGGCAACACTGAGTACTAGTGTTGCAAATCCATCGGTGGACCATCCATTTTTTTAGTCCGATGGTTTTAAATATCGATAGTATCGATGTTTCCATCGAAAAGGGCTCCAACATTCAAAATTGCAGAAAATTTAGAGAAAAAAGAATCAAATTTAAAAACTTTAATACTTAATCAATTAAAAAAAGGTTTACGATTTTTTGTCTTAATTCGTAAAATAATATTTCTATTTTAGTTTAAAAACTGTTATCTTCAAACGAAAAACATAAAATTTACCTCGAATTCATTAGGGTTATTATATATCTTACAACAAAAAACAAATACAATAGTTCGACTTTGATTAACGAGAGTCTTAATATTTAGCTTAAAATTAAAAAACAAAGCTTGTGAATGAACAAGAGTCTTGAACTTAAAACTGAAAACCATTATAGCCAAATCAATTATGTAGCAAATTATTGTGTTTAAAAAACTTAGTATATCCACAGCTTTTTAGCTTTCGTCTTTCGGACGACTTTTCCGTGGATTTTCTAACAGTTTGAAACAGTTTTGATACCTATATACTATATAGTACAAAATATATCAAATTGTTTGTGTTAAATAGATTCAAATATTATTAATAATTTTATTAAGAACGTTTGAACTTACGTCTGTAGCGATCTATCGACAACGGGAAAGTTCCATCGATCTATCTTACAATAGATACTCCATAGATAATATCACTAACCAGAGAACTCTGGTAACCAGTGGCACTAACCAGAGAACACGATTGACTGATAGTAGGTTATGCAAAGCGAACAGCTGATTTGACAGCGTGACGTGATTATTTCAGAAAATGGTGGGCGCGCGTTTGAATTTGTATGAAAATCAAGCAAACTTTGACACTGTTATTTGTCTTAAAACTAGTAGACTAAATAAAATGGGCTGGGCGGCTAATCACATGTTCTAAATAGATTCACGAATCGRAAAATATAAAGGCTTTTGCTAATTTTTATACTCTAAATTGTTTTCTAAGCAGTTATTGATCATGCAATCCCTTGACCACTTTTACTTTTGCATATAATGGATTTAA